TTGCCTGCCAAAAAGTAATTTGTTGAATACTCGGATATTAGTTACTAACGTGCGAAAGATGGCCGTTACGGAATGAGCTTATTGAAACCTTCTTACTATCATTAAACAACGCTCTGTCCGACCAGCCCCCGTGCCGGTGCCGTCTCCCCTTTAACGTCTCACTAACCGAACAATCGTCTATAGGCTCTGGCGTGCCGCCGGTGTACGATTTCGGCGATCGGCTGGCCGCGGCCATAGCAGACGGCATGGATGACAACTGGAGCCAGGTCAGTCGGCTCAATCGAACCTCGATGTTTTACGTTGCTCGGCATATTTCACGCGATCAAATAATGCTAAAAATGACGAAGCAATGGTGCAGTGTTCTACATCAAGCGTTCTAGCATTGAGCGCGACATATCGGGAGAGGTAGAAAGGTTGTATGGGCCTAATGGTTAGTCATTGCAGAATGGTCGTTAGAAGCTGGCACCTAGCACCCTCTGCAATGATTCTGCGCGTAGAGCCGCTGCAGTCGGTCTGACTGTGCGTCCCGGCCTGCATCAGGTGAGGATGGCAGCTTCTGTGGCGGCACGGCGCTTCCTCTGCGGTCTGTCTGCCGAGCAGAGGCAGCACTACCTGCCCTGTCTGCTGCCCAGGGTCTGTCTCAGCAGGTGGGTACAAAGCAAACAATGCTCGGTACACCGGTGTGTGGTTAACTATGTTTGGTAAACCCTGCTTTGTTTCGGAAGCTTTATTACGAAAACGGCGTTCAAATTTCCTGTACTTACGGATTCTGCCGGTACCTGCACTGCCAAGTCGCCTAGATAACTTTTTGTCGAAAGCTTATCGTCGCAGTAGTCGACTGGCTCATTACTGTACGTCCTTTTTTGTCTGATGCTATCGTTTGGTTTCAGGTATTACGTGGCCGAGGGCGTGAAGATTTACAACCAGCGAACGTGGGAGACGATCGCTGGTCAGCGTGGCAGGGAACTCGTTGAGCAATACATCAACGATGTGGTGCGTTTTGACAGAAGATAGATTCGGGGGTGTCCGTGATGACATTTGCTACTTTTAACGTATAGGTAATGCAGCGATAGCCTTTTTATTTAAAGTTTATAGGATTAGATTAGATGGCTATGGGTACAACTTCAATTATGATAAATTATAACTGTAGCGTCGCTTGTGCATAAAAGTAAATTGCAAAAATAATGCTACTCTGTCGTTCAGCATATCATAAATTCGGAAATATGACCTAGCTAACCAGTGCTGGGAATCGGTAAGTGTCATGGAGTTCTGTGCGACCACGCAGGGGATCAGACCTTGCCTCGGATCCTTCGAGATCGATGCGCTTCGTAACAATTACTATCCTTTACACGTTTTGTCAGGTGGAGTACTATTTGGTGGCCACCACGGCTGAGAACCACGCCGTGCGCGAGGCGGCCTGTTACTGCATCACCGAGCTGCTGAAGAAGCTGCCGCCGCAGCCTCTGGCGCCGTTTGCCGAGCGGGTTCTGGACGCGCTGCTCGTGTGCTTCCAGGACGACAGCTGGCCCGTCAGAGACAGTCAGTAGACCCACAGCGGGCTGGGCAGAGGCATATAGCATGTTTGTTAAGGTCCGTAGTTTCGGTGAGGTGGTGTGACTTTCACAGGATTGTGCTGGCTACTGTTTCGTAACTGTTTTATTTTGTCTACAGCGACCTGTCTGGGCGCGGGCAAACTTCTGACGCGTGTTTGTATGTTGTTTGCTCGCAACGGTCTGTTGAATGTGTGCTTAGGGTAAGATTACTGACGTGTGTTTGTGTCCTGTTCGCCTCCAGCTGCCTGTCTGGCCGCGGGCAGACTGCTGACGTGTATTGTGTGATGTCTGTTTCACGTGTATTTGTGTGACTTGTGCCTGTGTGATGTGTTACACGTCTGCTGTTTCTTCTGCAGCTGCGTGTCTGGCGGTGGGCCGACTGCTGGTGGCGTTCCCGGAGACGTGCCGGCCCCACCTGGACCGCCTCTACCCGCTGCTGTTCTCCAATCTCCACGACAATATTCCGTCGGTGCGGCAGGGAGGTGCCGAGGCGCTGGCCAACGCGGTCCGCGCCTACGGAGAGCAGGCGCTCACGCTTGTCATGAACAAGTGAGGACCGCGAGCGAACTCATCTGGTAGACATTGTTTTTAATCTCGGGGGTTAGGGGATATTGTGCATACACTCAATAGGAACTACTTCGTGATGTTCACGGAAGAGGATATTGCACAGTGCACATTCAAAAGAGACTTTCCTCAAGGGTAATACGTGCTGCAGCATCCGTCACATTTTGCCACCCGTGCTCCCCTCCACACAAGATTGGTTGTTTGTGGTTAGTGACTGCCTGTGTCTATGTCAATCTGTCGTCTCGTAGCTCACTAACCCGTCTGACCGACTGTGCCCGCGCAGGGTGCGTGAGGACCTGACGGCGCTCAAGGACGAGCCGGAGCCGAGTGGCCCTGCCGCCGCCCCTGGTGGATACGCTGAACGGAAACAGCAGCGGGATAACGACGAGCAGCTACACACCAACCAGACGGTACGCCGCCGGTCAGACTCGGCAGCGTCCGAGGAGCTGTGTGATCGAATAGATTTAATTGCGCGGCAGATCCGCCAAGTATGCATTTTATTACTTGTTGTGGATATGGATAAATTGCGAGATGAACGATGTTTTTTTAAGCGTGGCGCAATTGATCTACATATATTGGATCAACCCGGCTTAGTGTCATTTTTGCGAGCTGGGTCGCCTTTCGCGAGTATGTGTTTGTCGGTCTCACCGTCCCCTCTGTCCGCCGCCCTGGGCAGATGTACTCGTGCGGCTCGCTGGCGCCCAAGATGGCCGCCGGCGGGTGCTCGGCGTGCCACCGGTTCCGCCGGCCGGTCGAGCTGTGGGAGGCGGCCGACGGCAGCGCGCGCCTGCTGGCCGAGCTGGCCGCGGCGCCCGGCTGCGGCGGCACCGTGTCCGAGACCGTGCCGCTGCTGGCCGCCGCCGCCGGCCGCCGTCACTACACCCACCACCTGCAGCTGCTGGAGACGGTGTGCCGAGCGCTGCCGCCGCTGGCCACTGGCGTCGGCAAGCGCTGCTTCAAAACGCACCTGCACCTGCTGCTAGACACCATCATGTACTCACTGGTGAGTGTGGTGGGCTCGGGCTACTGGCCAGCGCAGAAAGTGGTGGAGAATGATGTAATGGCTGGTTGTGACAAAAATTGTATGTAAACAGAAGAGTTTGGTGGTCGAAGTAATTACTGACGACTGTTGATTGATTGAATTGGTGACTATGTCCCACCAAGCTGATATGTGATTCATGTGTGTGTGTTTTTTTTTTGCGCTGGCGGACATGCTGAAGGATTGAACACCGCACTTGAAATTTCCCTGGCCTTTTCAGACGTGTGAGAGCCAGCTGGCGGCGGAGGCCGGTCGATGTTGCGTTCAGCAGCTCTCTGGACTGCTGGGCCCCAACATCTTCCGCGGGCGAGTGGAAAACCACAACCCTAGGTGTGTTAGAATGACGTTTTATTTTGCATCGCTGACAATCGCATTTGGCGTGTAAATTGTATCGAAAACATATTCGGCTGACTAACTGTATCGTGCGTTTTAGAGAGAATATCAATCTCAATATAGTGTTTCAACATGTAGGAATTAAGTTGCAACCTGCGTACGCCTAACTATTCGCAAGGCTGTGTGAGCCACAATCTTTAGCACGTGTGCAATGTGCATATCGATTGTGCTATTTGACATCATGGTAGGTCAAATAGCCAAATCAAGGTGGCTAACGTTCCTTGTTTCCCAGCGATTCAAATTAGGACGACTTTGCATGTCACGTGTCAAACGTCACCTTCCGTGTCTGTTCTGACCTCTAACGCTCTGACTTTGTTGCAGCTATTTAACAACACTCGACCGCTTTCTGCCACCGCCGCTGGCTTGAGGCGAGACAGGGAGCAGGGACGGCGGACTGCTGCGAGAATCGATGGTTTCTGCGGATCGTTAACCAGCCAGCTACCGGTGTAACCTGCCCACTGACGGCGGAGTCAGGCGACCGAGCGCGGAGACGCCAGTTCCCGACTGACGCTGGCCTACGGAGTTTGAGATGTGGCTGTATCATGCTGTCATTCCGCTTCAGGGCAAATGATGAAGGCCCGAGTCGGAACTTTGTTGTTGATTTACGTAGGATGTGTCGTGCTTTCACGAAATACATTGATGTCAGGTACGATCGCACAGACAAGGTTGAATAGGATGAGGGAGCTTATCAGACCATGGAGCATTGTCTCATTTCCTCAACCACTCCCTGACGTTTGACTACGGGGAGCACCAATGGGATGAGGGCGCAGCAGCTCCGCTGTTCTAATTAGGATCCTGCAAAGACGAAGTGTATTCGAATGCCTGTCAAAGACTTTTGAATTATTTTGGTCTTGTCGATGTAAAATTAGACAAACTTGAAGTCAAGTAAGATCGTATCGCTGCGGAAAAGAGGTCGGGTCTCAAGGCGTTCTCGCAAAGCTCACCATCGGTTATCTCGCTGTTACGATCTCACATGAGACTATCTGTTGGTTTTCAGGTCAATTGAATCACTTATATGCTTATTTTGCAAGAGTGGCAATGACTAATGAGAATTGCGATTTTTCTCGCGATTACTTGTGAATGACTGCTTACCTGGTTTTGATCACTCAGACAGCACACATTAGACCGTTGCTGCAGTTGCATAGGGAGGGGCGGGTGAGGTCATTCGCCGGATCGGTGACTTAATTCGAGGGAGCTGCGAAACGGATATCGCGTGTAATGATATCACGCATAATTTACGGTTTTCCATTATATGACAATTGGGAAAACAATATTCCATTAGCATGGGAATTCCCTAACCCAAAGTTGTAACAAGATTACTTTACTACTCAGTTGTAATGCATTGATACAAGATTCCTTTACTTTCTATCAGTTGGTAGCATTACTCGCGGCGATAGTGACGCAACTGTTTCGTTCAAAAAGCAGCTGCTCACGTCGACAAATATATGTATGTACATATGATTGGCTTTGATGAAGTTAACAGCGTGTCGAATGGTCCAAATTCGCTGTCGATATACATTAGCAAACACAGCTATTTGATTTGTTGTTGATTGTCTGCGGGTTGCGGCTCCGAGAAGTTGGGCGGAGCGCTGGTAAGGAATGCCAATATTTGTTGAGACAAACATTTATATAAATACCTGGCTGATGAAATCTTTTATTTTCACCTATCCGTGCTTCTATCCTCAGGAAACAGAAATCCTTCTCCTCCACGTCGCAACCCCCCTCCGGGCTGGACAGGCAACTTTATCTCATGCGGGCTGCTCCCTTGGAGCGGCACCGCTGCTCCTGAGGGAGCGCACCCCGTAGCCGGGTGCAGTGAGTGCCTTGGGGCTGAGTGGCCTGTCCTTTGGACGGGCTCAGCCCCGGCGACTCACTAGGGTGCCTGCCCAGACCAATGTCTCCCCCTAATTCCTATCATCCGTCCGGCTCTGCAATGGTCTTGTCGACCGAAAGGGCCTAACCCAACAAAACAAACAAAAAATCTTTTATTTTGGCTAGCTTTCTTGTTCTCTCCACTTGGAGTAGCGCTGTATGACCTTGGAGTAGCGTGATGTGCTAGTCTGCCCCTGCTTTATCGGATAAGGTGCTCTATCTGAATTGCTTTATTTTTATTTTGGATAAAATTGAATCTAATATTCTCATCTAATGAACCTGGGTGGAGCCTCTATGCTTTTGTACTAAAGAGCCTGTAGCCTACGAATATATTCAAGAAATAATGCATATAAATAAGTGGACTGGTTCTTACCACCTAACCTACAAACCTACAACCTAAAACCTAAAACCTACAACCTACAACCTAACCTAACCTAAAACCTAAAATTTTTGTTGTTACATATTTGTATCATCAGCGTCACAATTGTCCACTCGGACCTAATATATACTAATACCAAGACTTCTTCAGTGCTTCTTAAGAAACACTGAAGACTTCTTTAGTGCTTTTTCAGATGAAGCACTAAGCTGAAGTAGGTGGGTGCAGAGATACCAGCTAGGTGCATCAACACCAGATGGCAGACTTTGTGACAACATAGTGATAGTTGACAAGCTGCACCACCTGGCACCTAAAGTGACAAATCAAAAGCAGACCAAATCACCTTAACTGAAAATCTGCACTGTTCCACATACCAGACTGGAAAACATCATTCCATACACTATGCTGGACGCCCTTGAGACCCTCTTCCGCTGAAATCCAGAGCAAGCGATTTTGCACTGAAATTTTTCATGATAAGTGCCAAAAATTGGGTGTCTTTTTGTATCAAAATTAAGCCACTATAATATAGAGCATGTACACATCTACCGAGCAGGGCTATGTCAACCAAACCGAGTGTTCTGGGGCTTTGGACGCTCCGATGTTGAGCATCTAAAAAAGTTTTTCCCACGGAAAGCACTGTAGCGTCCAGCCATGAAACAAGGCCGGAGTCGGAAGTTCCGGGGCCAGAAAAATCGGCTGAGCTGTGTGTTTGAGGCTGGTGGGAGCCAGTGAGGGCCGGGCAGCTGAGCAGCACGTGCTCCGGCACATTAGCCTCTTGGCACACAGCGCAGAGCGCTGCAGGGCACCGCTTGTCTGGGCACTGCTGGCACGCCGTGGAGCCACTGGAGCGAGCGGCCCCAGTGGCCCGCCCTCATCTGGTGCACCGAAACGGCGCCCTCTCGGTCCTCTCCAGAGGTAGGGAGCGGCGGCGTGCTCCCGAGGAGTGGCTTGAATAGTGACTCGGACCAGTTGTCACGCCGTTGATGCGAGGCCGCACAATGAACCGCCCTGGTTGGCGAGCGGGCGTTTGAGGGCAGGGCGGCCGCTTGTTTCGCCAGGTCGCCCGCGCTCTCATTCCCCTCGATGCCGCAGTGGGCAGGAACCCACTGCGGTATTACCTAACGATGCTCTGCGATGTTCAGCAAGGTCTTCCATACCTATCTCCACGCAGAGGGTTGAGGCCTCACCTGGGCGGCCGCTCCTCCGCTGAGTAGACTCAGAGCGGCTCGCCAGTTCGAGCACGCGACGACCGGGGCGGGGGCGTCTCGTCCCGAGACCTCTCCAGAGCCGGAAGCAGGGCGAATCTGCTGCTAGATTGGCCAGCGTGCCGACCAAGTGCGGCGACAGGGTTTTCGCCAAAAAATTATGCGGCCGCCCTGCGCCGTAAAATTCAGCTGCCGCCATGCCTGAATTCGGCGCATGCGAAGTTACCTCGGACGTGCGCCAAGCTTGTGAATGCTCCTCGAAAATTTTATCTAGAAAAATCAATGTCACAGTCATAACGAGGAAGGTGCTGTTCCGTAATTGGGGTAATAAGCGAGATGTCTTGTAAGTGCACTTTCCTCCCACTAGCCTTACTATGATGGCCCACTGTTGCATCTTTCTCAGAATATCAGGGAGATCCAGAACGGCAATGCTGACAAAACGGGTCATGTTTCACTAGGACAATGCTTCAGAATATTTTTCATTGGTTGCGATGTCAAAAAAAACATAACTGAGCCTTCCAATATATCCCAAAATAAATCTTTTGACCAGCATTGGCATCCTTAGGTATCTATTTCTTTCTAAACCCGGAGAGAAAAACTGATTCGATAGTGCTTCGCAAAAAAGTAGTGACGTCTTTGACACCGTGAACACTTACCAAAACATCATTATTCAAGGCACATAAAAAGTAAGAATAAAAAGTAAGAATAAAAAGTGCTAGGACTTCACAACTTGGTGTCCCCAGTTGTAAATAGTGGCAAAATATGTGACCAAAGTTTCATTACTCTGGGTCAACTGCAACTATGTTAGGCTCAAACTTTTCATTCACCCTACGTATATTGGCCCTATATCCTGGCTTATCTCCTGTCGTAAGCCGCTTGACAGTATCGCTCTCCATCTGCCGGTTATGATACCCACCGCCAATGCCTCTCGCTGATATGAAATGTCGGCTATCTCAACGCTGCTGCTGCCACGGTCGGTGGTCCGCCCCCGCCTAGTACCGCCGGCGGTACGGCACGGGACGATCGACCTTCCTGATCGGCCAGCTGCACAGTGTGACCGTGGTGTTTTATGTGATCGCAGGTAATGAGCTGAGATCGGTGGAGCTATCACGATTATCACTGTGGTCTCGTAACCTCACCCCGAAGTCGACGACGATCGCCAGCGGCGCACCGACTGTCTCCACTGTGCCGAGTTCGGCCGTCCGTCAGTTGGACTTCACCACCGGCCGCGGCTGCCCTGTGTGCACTGCCGGCCGCGGCCGCCGTCGGTGGCGCTCGGCCGATTATTGATCATGGAGGGGAGCGGCGCCGGCGCCGACCGGCCGGCCGGTGGCACCGAGCGCGACCGGCGCGGAGTCTACCTCGAGGACGTGGCCAAGGAGTTCGACAGCTGGCTCTTCTGGCGCGATGAGGCTGGCGCGGTGGGCCCTGAGCCAGCCCAACAGCCCGAGTTCCAGGTGGTGACCGCGCGCCGCGTACACCTAGCCGAGACAGCGCGTCTGGCGGCGCCCGAGGCGCAGAGGGCGCCGTGCCGGATCCCGAGTCCGACCGACCAGCTGTTGGCGGAGTCCAGACAGCGACTGCGAGGATCCAGCTCCGCCGCCGCCGCTGCCAGCGCAGTATCCGACTCGGGAATCGCGTGTGGTGCGTCTACTGCCGACGAGGCGAGTGACTTAGAGGAGGACGGGTCAGCGCAGCCAGGACACGAGATGGGTAACAAAATGGGCACGGCCACGCCTGAGCGGCGTAAGACGCGTATCATGGCGATCAAAGACGCGGGGAGAAAGAAGCGTTTGGGAGGATCGTCGTCATCTAGTGCAGAGATTTTGGACACAGTGCCGCCGCGAACTGAGCAGCCGGTGGCGCCAGCCGACCGCGCCGACGTGCCGGAGCGGGTGGCGCGGTTCCCCCGGCCGGGGCCGGACTCGCCTATTAAGGCCCCGCCTCACCAGGCGAGTGCACAGCCCCAGCCTGTGCCGCAGCAACCTCAGCCGCAGCAACCTCAGCCACAGCAGCCACAGCAGCCGCCGCAGCCGCCCGTGGAAGCCACTAACTCATTTGTTACGGATTCTTGGAAACAGGTGAGTTTTCAGCACTTCATTGTTCTGCTCAACGCTAGCGTTGAAACCACTTTGTTCGACTCTGTTTACAACATTTTGAATCATTCATGTGTCTAGCCAGGTCAAATAAAACTCAACGTTTGAAATTTTAATACAAACTTTTTAGAGTCCTCAGCCAGTGCTGGGGATTGGTGACTAGGTATAAGTAAATAATGACGCAGTGAGCTGGCTTACATGACCTTTCGCCAGACCAACAATCCACTACGGACCCGGGGGAACGGGAGATATATGTTTGTTTTCCTACCCGGCCTTGATTGACCTAGAGCTACGAGGAAAAGGGGTTTGTTCAGCACAAAACAAAGCCTATTGTGTCCATTAACAATCATTTGGCCTCAAAGGTTATCAATGAATGATGCTTCATGAGGAAGTACCAGACTTCATTAAGTCTGGTTACCTGGTTCTAACCAAAGACAGACTTTTATCCGACAGATCCGTAACGACTACTGCGGTGTGGTGCGGTGATCGCTTTGGTCATCTGCTCCGGTGTGGTGTGCTGGCGCTATCCAGTGACACCCGCTGTGCTGTGGTTTGTTGATGCCATCCAGTGACACCCGCTGTGCTGTGGTTTGCTGATGCTATTCAGTGACGCCCGCTGTGTCGTGGTTTGTTGATGCTATCCAGTGACACCCGCTGTGGTGTGATGTGGTAATGCTATACAGTGACACCCGTTGTGCCGTGGTTTGTTGATGCTATCCAATGACACCCGCTGTGCTCTGCTCCCACCAGGTGCGTCGGCTGCAGGAGGGCTGTGACGCCGCCGTCGGAGTCGCCTCTGACGAGAGTTCCGGCTCGTTCACGGACCCTCTGAGCTCGTCGCGGGCCGGCGCGCGCTCGGGGACCTCCAACACGATGCGCCAGGACGCCGACCCGGACACGGCCACACTGACGGACGCTCTGGTGGCCGCCGAGCTGCCCATGGACGACACACCAGTGCGGCGCCATGACGAGCCCCTCCACCCGGACTCGATCGAACTCAGTGTGGACGAGCGGCTGAGCGTGGACCTGACCCGCTCCTGCGAGCCCTCGATGCTGCAAAGTCTGCTGAGTGACGCGACTCCGGTGGCCGAAGACAGGGCGCGCTCGTTCTCACAGGCGGATGTGAATGAGGGAGAGTCTCCGCGCCCCTCGACACGGCCGACCTTCACGGTCACCAAGCACCGTAAGGTGGACCTGGGCGGACGACTGAGCCAGACGGCTCCCGGCCTGGAGCACACCACGTCCGAACACTGCCTGCCAGGTCAGTCCGCCGGCCTCGGCACGAGGGGTGGGATATTGTTCCCTGATGTCTCGCTCGACACTGTTATGGTCTGCCAGCTTCCGTTGTGTCCTCCAATGTCAGGCTGGTAGTGGTGCACCGCCTCGCACTGCCCCTGTCATGTAGGAGCCCTGGGTCGGGTGTGTTGCTGAACATCGTCGGTTAACAGCAGATTCGCGGATGGTCGGTGAAAGGAAAGGTGAATTATGGATGCCTCCAAGTGCTAGGCATTAACATCGCATTACTTATGGATACCTCCAAATGAGATGTGTAGGCATTAACAACGCATTAATCAGCACGATATTACAGACCAATGAAAACTTAATGAACGCTGAATCCTACCATTTAATTAATGCTAAAACATTATCCTAAAGGAAACTTTATTCGTTGGTGTTGACTGGGCCATTGTTGACGTCTGGTCGACATTCGTTTACGTTAAAGAGTATCATGGAAAACTGGGTCTTTATCGTAGTTCGTCTATGGTATACCTCTACAACCGCATATTAAATGTTATTCAATATTTACGTGTACGAATTGCAGTTTATAAGCAAATGGGTCCGTTTTTATTCGTGCATAGAACCAGTCTGTTATTTTTGTACCAATTCGGATCGTGGCGGCGGTAGTAAATCAGTCAGTTCATCACTGACCGGCCAGTTGGCGTCACGTCGGACATTTCCGAGCCTCATCAGGCCCGGATTCTTTCATACCACGGCCAGACAAATATGGCAAACCGGTCGCCGGAGTGCGCCATTTTGACTGCAGCCCAGCAGTCGATATAAAGCGGCGCGCCCGCTGGCGGTGCCATGCACAGTCGGGCCCAGCTGTGGCCGGGAGGCGGGCATGCAGTGGCTGGTTGTGTTGACGGCCGCGCTGGCGGTCGGCGGCGCTCAGCCGCCCCCCGCCGAGCCGGTGTACGCTGGCCTGACTCGCGATCAGGTGATTGTGGCGCTGAAGGCCGCCTTCGCCACGCTCTCGGCCGAGGAGCGTGCCGCGCCGTCGGTGGCTCAGGTGGCCGCCGGTCCGGAGATCGGGCCAGACGCGGGACCCGGAACGGTGGAGGTCCCGGCCACGGCTACGGCTCCCTCCGAGACAGCTAGCCCGGCGGAGCAGCCAGGTCAGAAAAAGGTCGCCGCCACGGCGCCCTCTGAACCGGTAGCTGAAGCTCAGCCGCCCTCTGGACCGCCCACCGAAGCCTCTTCGCCCTCCGGGCCGGCTATCGAAGGTCAGCCTCCACCCGTACCAGCCACGCTAGCCGAAACACCGGTCGAGTCTTCCCCTCCAGTCGAAACGCCGGCGGGACCACCGACACCTCCGGAGCCGCAGCAGGCAACCGTAGCAGAGGTGCCCGAACCACCGCCAAACGAGACTTCTTCGACTTCGACAGAAACGCCCACAGCTTCATCTACAGAGCCTCAACCTGAAGTGTCTACCGAAATTACAACCGAATCTTATACCGCGTCATCCAAATCAACGGCTACCGAATTATCAACTGAAGCTTCGGTAGGACAGTCGACAGAAACACCATTGGGGCCACCGAAATCAGGTCCCACACGTAGGCGGAAGATTAAAAGGAGAAAATTGAGAAGGCGTCCTTCAGCTCCGTCGACGGAATCTCCCAAAGAGACGGTACCAGAGGCAGCGTCGTCCCCAGAGCCCCCAGCCGAGGTGCCGGGAGGGCAGTCCGAACCGGACCCCGTGCCGCCGACCGGAGCCGACGGCACTGCGCCCAGCCGAGCGCCCATCGTCGTGCCGGAGGAGTACTACCCCAGCACCTTCAGCCACCCGTTTCCGCCGGGTTTCTTCAGTCTCTACCAGATCCCGAATGAGAGCGAAGCACCGAGCGCTGGCTCTGTGTAGCAGGAGAATGGGAGGGACAGATAATGCTGCTGGGTCTCCACCGATCGCCTGGTAACCATTCGCTGCTCGACTTTTTCATTGGGCTGTGTGCCAGACATGGTTTGAAATGTTATGTAGTTAATCAGACGTTGAAGTGACGGTCAAGTGATTTATGATTTCTGGACTTCTGTGACCGGCATGTTGTATTCGCGAGTGTTGTGCCAGTTCTGTACTAATCGTAAAGTATTCGGGATGCCTCAGATAGTCCGAGGTGCCCTGTTGTGTTGATACCATTCACTTCATCACCACTTGTGATGAACACTATGTATGATGCTTGTAGATTCATTCACATTTGTGGTTCGGTTTTGTATTCGTGACATGCTGTAAATAACGGAATAATAAATATTTCCTCGTTGAATCGTCTATGAAAGAATGGCTAATGAAGCTTATTTCGAGCGAGCGTGAAACGTGAAGCGAGTTTCTTCAGACAGCCCCGTCTTTTCTCCCCCAAGATCGACTATTCCTTATACATCTGGTTGACTGCCACGACACATGCCACGTGCCAAATCAGAGCTTGTCGGCATTGCTCCGCTTACATTTACACCGCAATGGCTGGGCCGATTGGGCTGAAACTTGGCCTTTCGTTGGGCAACCAACGGGCGATGTATTTTCGCGCGGCGCAGTTGGGGTGCTACTGAAACGGCGGCCTGCGCACGTGGGCACGTGCTGAGGCCTCATCTCAAGATGGGCACGGCCAACGGGACCTAATGTCGATGTTAGAATGAGTTTGCGAAATACGTGGATCCATGGAGTCCCTAGGCAATCTGTGAAGTCCCTGGTGGCTCCGCGGACGAACATCAAGCCTAGTATATTCGCGGATAAACAGACGGGGATCCGCGGATGAACAATACCTACTCTTCAGGATAACCGCGAACTCCCCGAAGCAGGATAACCTCGAACTCTTCAACGCCAAGATCCGCGAATCACCCTGGGAACCCGCGGAGTACCGATTCATTCTAGTGAGCTCACGAATTTCCTATGCGTTTCATGAACATATGTCTGCCTATAGAATGCATGGCATAGTTGGTAGGTCACATCCGAAATTATATCCGGAGGGGTCGGTTCAACGGGAAGTTAACAGCTGAAACGAATCAAATCGGCCTATCGCTCGACTTTTACACGTTTTCAGATTGAACTGTCTTGGGCGAAGGCAAATATAAGAAACAAATGTACGTATGTGGTGTGGCATACATATAGTTCGCATTGAGTAGACAATCACTTTTTAGTAACTTTTATTGTGCATCTCAAGCAGTGCCCTTTAGTAGTCAACGTTGCTGCGTTTCGAAAAAAAAAGAGCAAAAAGGTGTCAATCCGGTCCAGTTTGTGCTCAGGCCCTGATAGCGCTGTTTGGATGCGTATGTGCATAGGCGGCGGAACGGGGAGGGCACCGGGGCACCGTGCTTCCCTTTGATTTTGGCATTTTAACATTAGCCCTATGGGCGTTGCATGGAAAGAATGGGACCAAAAGTCGGCAGTGCCCCCCTTTGATTGAAGGTGTTCCACCCGGGCGCCGCTACTGCGTATGTGGGGGAGGAGAGGGAGATGCATGCGCTTTTATGACGTGCGGTAGAATTCTGATTTCTGTGACGTCTTGAGGCCGTCTAGAGGTCGTGACCTCGTAATGCTAACCTTTGCCGACCGAGGAAGGGGGGGGGGGGCGGATCGCCCCCTTACGTTTTTTCGCGATTTTTCCGAGCATACTAGAGATAGAGGGCTGAAATCTGGCGCCTCCTTAATTTAAGTTGGATCTTGTAAAACCAGCCGCATTTTCAGGTCAGGCTACTGACCTATGACGTAGTTGAGCCTCTGCACGATCCTAAAATGTCGCGACTTCGCAACGCCCTCAGTACCAGAGGAACTTTCACAGGGACATGAAACTTACAGAACTTGGTTTCCTCCAAAAGGCCTCACAGCTCGTTTATCTAAGAGTTTTCGTAGGGGTCACCCTAGGTCAGGCTGGTCACGTGACCTCGCCGTTATAAGTCAATGGGGAAATATGGAGACTGTTATTTTTGTGCCAGAAATTATCTAAAACCACCTCAATCACATGGAATCGTGATTTCATGCACTCCTTGCAAGGTCCTTTGTTTTCGAAGATGTATACATTTGTACATGGTTGCGTGCTTAGCTTGTCATCGAGTGTGTTTCTTGTTACGCAACGAACGGTTCTATTGGAAGTAGGGCGGCATTCCAGGACGTTGCGCATTGATAGCTAACCTTTTTAATTTCCAAAAACACGAAAGCAATGATGAGTCACCCCCTCACGCTTCACGTTTGAGCAGCGCGATGGTTCCGGAGCGTTCGTGAGTAGCGTGCTGCTCAGACCGTCAGGACATGCTGCGGCCGGCGGGGAACGGTACGGCCGGATCCGGGCCCGCCACTGGCGCTCACAACTACCCGGATCTAGCTCCATATCGGGTTGTCCCGGCCCGCCGCCGCCGCCATCGCCACTGCCCAGCACATTTTTCACATTGTTACTGCTTCAGCGGCGCTGCGGAGTCGCCGATAGACGGTATCAAAACTCAGATTTGATCTTTGTGTTGGCTGATTTGGAGCCCGCTAGGCGTGTGGCAGCCGTGGTCAGCGGGCCACTGTGCCGTACCGTTCGCGCCGGTGTCCGACTTTCGTCGTGTATGCTCGAGGACCTGTCCTGACTGATGCCATATAAGGTCTGCCGGTACCGGCAGGTCCGGTAAACCAACTGGTGGGACCAGCGTCCGGCCGGTGGTTTTTGTGCCCAACGATTAGTCGCAAACAAACAAGTGACAGCTGAATCCTTTTCTGATGTTAGTCACAGAACTTACTTTTTGAGACGCGTTGGTCGTGGGCGCCAGGTGCCCATGCCCGCCGATTAGACAGGCGGTCACTTGACGTTGATGAACGCGTGCCTACAGAAGTTGAGCGCTAATTCAACTGACTGGTTAGATATTCAATGTCAACATCAGAATTGTAAACTTAACTGCTTAGTGTTTGCTTCCTCCATCTCTACTGAATATCTCAGCGGGGTGCTGGCTTATATGAGACGACTGAGGTATTGCAGCAGAGAAGGTCTTTTTGGGACAATTAGGCAATTCAATGCAACTAGC